ACATGCAACAAAGATAGTCTGCAGACACTTCAGACCAGATTGACGTGGTGGACGTTTGAGAAACTATTCGTTTGGTTAGTTATGGACAGAATTAACGGATGGTTGTCTATCTGTCCACCACGGTCAGCAGGTTGGATATACAACACGGTCCCCTTCTGAAACCATAGTGTTGGGGTGCAAAAAAGTTTATGGATAGTAAATGGTCACATAGACTCCACAATTTTTGGGGGTATTGAGAGAGGTGTTACTGGTCGGTAGCTTGAAAGTTCGCTAAATAGACCCCTTTGAAAATTGGTGTAACGTGGGTCAGCTTCAACTTCCTGGTGCCGTGCCTCAGCCTAGTGACTGTGAGAACATCACGCTAGACAGTTTTTTCAAGATTGAAGCCAGGATGGACCATGTCCAGGCAGGGAGAATTGTCCTTGTTTACTTGCTGCAGTTTCTGACATACCAAGTCGGAGCTCAAGCTCACTTCTAAAAGTCCTAATGGGTTGTAGGTGAAGCTCTCGTCGTGTTAAATAGTGTGCGTCGATTGAAATATCCGAACTTTCTGTCCTGTCAATAGGTTGGTGGCGTCACCATTGTTGTTGGTTGGGCCATTCGGGTCATGCAATTGATAAACTCCATTTTTCGCTTATCGAAGAGAGGCTGCAAGACGGAACACGCTTTTAGGACTGGAGACAAATTTATCGAATAGCTTTATCCAATATCAAAGCCTATCTTTCCTCATTGCCTTTGTGCACCAGTTCCTTGTTATCTTAAATTGTCTGTATGATTTATTATTACCAGTTCGTTTGCATTCCACCTAAAAGTGAATTTCGCATCTTAGAATTCGATGAATGTGATTCTTGATGACTGCACGTTGCTTACAATTTTCAAGGAAAGTTTGAGGGACAGACGGTTTCGAACACATGAGTTGTTATGCGGTAAGAAATCTCAATAGGCGTCCACATCAATTCGAGGGTAAACCTCCCAGTTCACCTGCTGCAGATTGACTTGTAAAGCTGGCACATTCAAAAGTTTGTAATTCTGAAGCTAGTTATTAGCAGGATTTTTTAGCTTGACTTCGTTGATATAACAGCCCCAATATCACGGATTGATTGACTTGTTCTCAACAATAAAGAGCCCTATACAAACAAAATGTTCTACCTTACAAACATAGGTGGATTGACGTCATCGCCCTCACCACCGATGCTCGCTGGTTAGTAACTCCATACTATCTCTTTTTTATGTAAGGCTCATTTTCGCATACTTTTGGTTAAATATTATACCTCACACGATGCTCTGTGTTTAACATCCTGTTGGAAAACGTCATTTCTATAAGCAACATTTTAAAAACTTATCAGGCAGTTATAAATAATGGACTGTGGGTAAGATATCGATGCAATGCTTCAAATAATCATAACAGAAAGTATAGGTTGCCAATTGAGGAACAGACATTTAGAAGGGTATAATGCAGGATAGCTGTTTACCGAAGTAGGCGGAAATCTATAGGAATGTAATAGTTATAGGTAAGGCAATGAGTGGTGAAATAATGTTCAATCAATGTTTTTCAGCAAACCTGACAAAAGAATAATGATATCGCTCTCTAAATCCTCAGAGTTCATGTTGCATATGCCGCATACTCACCTGTGATTTGACACACTAAGTTTGTCTCCATCAGTGGCTGTAATATTCGTGAAAGCTACCTTTACCGTTGTTACATTGGATATCACAGGTGACAGCGAAACAGTATCCAAGTTGCTTACATGAGTTCTTCATGGTCATAATCCAATGCAAGTTCTTGGACAGATCCTAGAAGAAGTTTACGACCTTAAGACACAAAGCAGCCATCCCAAAACGGTTTAAGCGTATAAAAACAGGCAGTATAAATGTCAGAGTATGCTAAAACTAGCATCAACGTGGAAAACTGTAAAAATTGAATAGTAAGCTGAGGCAAAACCACGATTAATCGTTAACTCGGACGAAACTCAAAAAGGAAAGTAGTCCTTCGAACAATAAGCTCATGACGGTTTCTACAGTTCAAAAATATCTTTTGTTGCGTAAGGACACGACAAGAGTTTGAGAAACGCAAATCACGTTAGGCCTAAACTTCCCTGTCGTAAAGCGTGCGTGATGTTAACTCAGAGTAAACGTAAGTGAATCCAAATACTTGTAAAATTAATTATAGCATTCATATCAACTGTCACTTTCTGTTTCATTACATGATAACCAATACCTCTGCAGACGTGTTGAGGTGATATTTGCCTTACCTGAAAGATTCCAAGAACCGGCCACATGTGTAATTCCAAAGGTCCAAAGTTTACCCTATACAGATAGGCCTAAGAAGTAAGACCTGCTTACGCTGTCCTACTGCATATTCAGATTATCTGATTCTGATCCATTAAATATTCGGAAACCATTCAGCATCTTACATATCCTCCCCTCTTTCTCACCTGATCATGAAAACCCAGAGGACATCACAGGCAAGTATAAAAACCAAGAACGAACAAAGTAGTCGCGGCATACATGCTTTCACGGGTCACCAATACTTGGAATCTAATAACCGAAGTGATCTCTCCACCTTCAATTAACACCTCGAGCTGAGAATTCCATACTGTATCAAAATATAATATTGAATATTGCCATTAGTCATTATAATAATCTACACCACTCAAGCTATGCTCCTTCATAGTTTGTTTTGCTTTGATATGTGAATCCGGAGCTGAAACCGTCTACCCACCTATCTTAGAGCTCCCCATAATCCGTTTATTCACAGTGTACATTCACTTTCTTCCTGTACCCATGCGCACAGCTGTGTGTTTGTTATATGCCACGCTATTGAGGTCCACCTTGATGGTCCTATCAAAATCCAATGATATGCTCATGACAACACTCGCTGCTCCCTTGAAAACTAGAAACTGCTGATCTGCTGGTGGCTGTACGTCTGAGGGCAACTTTCTAGCTATGTCCAGCGTCACAATCACCTCAAGAATCAGAAGAGACTTTATTGAGAGGCATGCTTTGCACTGGCAATGTGATAGTGGCTTGCAGAACCTTTTATATGCAGACCGTGTGAGTCCGGTACACACGTTGTGGTACCGTTTGCTGAAGTTATCACACCGAATTTCACCCTGCACTAGGAAAAAACACACAGGCCTACCACAACGAAGTTTTACTTGAGCAATAAAACTGTTTGGTGATCGCACAGAGAAAACGACAAAAAATTGATCTCTAGAATAGATGTTTTTAAGGTGATAGACATTGATATATTGCTTTAACTGAAGACAAAAACCTACCCTGATTAGATACAAAGAGGTATTTACACTTTAGATACAAACAATACTAGAAGATTTACTCATCAGCGGAAAATGCGACTGCACTTTTTGTTTCTTCACTCAAAATGTACAGATGGTGGATTACTTCAATAGTCTAAGCGACTACTTTATTCGGGATGAATTTATTAAAGACGGAAACAATTTGACTTTCCAAAAGCTTTCTATGAGGTCAGTTGTACTACTTATCTAGTGGCCATTAATTGCCTGGCTTAATTTATGTCTAAATAATCGAATTTTGAAAGTTAAGGTAAGCATAACTTTTTATCAGGCTATAGAGTGTTTTGGTGAGGTTTCCCATGGTTTCTTACTAGGACCTGTCTTTTTCACACTTTGTATGAACCATTTTCCACAACAGGTATCGTCAGACTCATTACTTTTTGCTGATGATGTGAAGCTTTGAAGAGAGATACGTAACCCAGAGTATATAGTGGCACTTCAGGAGGATCTGCATCGACTTCATAGTTGGGCAGATGACAACGGACTTACCTTTAGCACTTCAAAGTGTAAAGTAGTTCATCAGAGACGTATCACAAACTATGGATACAAGTTGAGTAACTCCCCTTCAGAGGTATTCCAAGTTGAAGAGGACCTGGGAGTAACGATACCCTATGATCTGAAGTATTGAGCCAACTGAGACAAAAATGCCTTCAGGGAAAACCTCGCACCGTCAACGTCGAAGCGCGCTTTTGGCCATTCCGATGGAGAACCTTTCCACATGATCTTCAACAATTTCATTCATCCTCATTTAGAGTACGAAAACATAGTATTTCCTCCCGCACCCCAAACAACCAATAAAGGGGAAATAAAGGCGAACAAAAAGGAAATAAAGGTGAAAATGCATTGGAAAATAAGTTGAGAATAATGCGGAAATGCGCCAAAATGTCTGCTTTTCCGTCTGTCCGGGGGAAATAAAGCGGAATTTCCCCTTTATGTCTCTCTGTGTTTCAAATGTAGTTGAACTGCCGATTTTTACCCTACATATCCGTTGGAGTACTCCAACGGCTAGTCACGGAATCAGATCGTGGACTCAAATTCAAGCCTTATTAAGAGCGTCTCCAATCACTAGACATTTACGCATTAGAGTACAGAAATCTTAGAGGCGACCTTCTAACGGCTTACAGAATCTGAAATACTTCTTGACATCCCCTTAAACACCAACTTAAGTTTAGCTCCAACACAAACCTTAGGGATAACATCCAGAAAGCGAAGACATAACACAGTGGAACGGACTGTAGACACAAATTATAATCCTTAAGAGTGGTCAAATGCTGGAATTCGCTGCCAACTGAGATAGTCCAAGCGACCTCCCAGGAGTCCTTTAAGAGGAAACTTGACTTATTCTTAAGGACTAAGGATAACATATTATTATGATTTACCAAATTCTTTTTCCCCCTCTATTATCGTTCATATACCTAGGTTCTTGCCTGGAGGTATTGGTGATCCACTGCTACCAGACACGGAAGACCGTTAAGCGAAAGCTTCTTCTATTCCGTCCTCAACCATTTGAACCATTTGAATCAATTTCTTTCTCCCTTTTTATCGATAATATACCTAGGTTTCTATCTGTAGGTATTGACGACACACTGCTACTAGACAGGGAAGCCCTTTAAGCGAAAGCTTCTTCTATTCCGTGCTCAACACTTCAAATCATTTGAACCATTTAAATCGTAGCGGGTAACTAGAATGGTAGCGTTTTATTTGTGAAGTTTTCATCTCACCAACTTTAGTTTCATTTAGCTACGAAATTTCCTTCACTCGTGTACACAGGTATCAATCATAGATTATTAGCTGTATTCTCCTCAAAAGTTGACTCACTGTACAGCGTTTTCGGGCTCTCAAGCAATGCTACTCATCAAGATATCAAAGAAGCGTTCTATCGACTGTCAAAAATATATCATCCTGATGTGACTGATGATCCTAACTCTAGAGAAAAGTTCCATGAGTTGACAAAAGCCTATGAAATCCTGGGAAATCCTGTCAAGCGGAATGAATATGACCGTGGCCTAATTCATACGAGAGGCGGTGGTGTGCATCACTTGTCTAAGGAAGGTTACACAATTGACTCTGTAAAGGACAAAGGCTCAGACAGTTTTAAATCGTTCTATGTAAAACAACACAATCGAACTTTGAATGAATTTTGGATGAAACATTCGGATTGTGAATCTACAATGTCCACCATTGAGTTGAGGAAAGACCATTCAAGATTCTTGGAGGTATTGCTTATGACGGTGTTGTATACCATTTTATTGGCTTATTTGTATTCGAGATATTACGAAAAACCCATTGAATTCATCCGACCTTCGGAAGAATAATTATGACCATTTACAATCCAAGCAAACAGAACTTATAGCTAATACTATATTTTGAATTGCTTATTTATCAGGTTCATAGTTCTTCTGCTTTAGTGTGAATTTTAACGCTTCGTATGCTTTTTTAGTGGTTAATACGCCTTTTAGTTTGGGTAAAACCTAAAGGATTTGTGGTTGAAAAGTCACTTGGTGTCATACAGACGTTTCAGGTCGTTTGTAGGGTTAAACTAAACTTCATGGGCAAACCAATTGGATTTAATATAGTATCCCTTAGATTTCTTGCCTTTATTCCATCCATTCATATGGCTGCATTATGGCTGATGTCAGTTCGTAGTGAAAACCGTGGCTCTAGTATCTTACCTTAAATCCTAGTCTTACTTTCTAACACCGGTTACAAACCGTGTTTTGAACCTTATGACTAGTAAAATTATCGTAAAACTCAGATTCGTTTATTGGGGATAGAAGGCCGATAAGATCATTTCTTTGGGTATTAGATTACAATAATTGATCACTCATGAAGACCTGTATGCTGCGGCTATTTTGTTCGTTCTTGGTTTTTGTACTCGCCTGCGATGTCCTCAGAGTTGTCCTAATCTGGTGAAAAAAAGGAGAGGATATGTCAGATCCGAAATGATTTCTAAATATTCGATACACCAGAATCAAGTCATTTTAGTGTGCAGTAGGACAGAGTAAAGAGGTCTAACTTCTTAAGCTTCTCTGTATATGGTAAACCTCGGACTTTTGGAATTGCACGTCTGTCCAATTCACTTATGGAATAGGGGCTTACAACCTGAACGTAGGTTTTAAGCTTATATCTCACTAAGATTGTGTATATTGTGGTAAGCATACTTGTATACAACTTGGTAAGTGTCCGTAGCTGCTACCTTGAAAAGTGGTCGGGCTTGCCTATCGTGATGACCCAACCGAGCTATATTGGCTGGAAAATGTGTTCCTGTAGGTTCTACCATGCCAGGCAGGTCGATTGGAGAACCACAAGACTAAAAGCAGCAACTCAAAGTCTGATCGCGAAGTCGTACTGCTGACTGTAGAGGGGTGTGACAGCAGTAAGGTGTTTCCCTCGGACAACCAGTATCTGCAGCGATGCTGCCTTCTCACAATGAAGGAAGGGGTTAGAAAAGGTCGACCCTAAAAGTGTCACACCTCACCTTACCTCACGGATTTCCGTCTCCGGCGGTAAGGCCCTTTAAAAAACGGAGCTAACACGTCAGAAACCTCACAAAAAGGCTGTTAGTGACAGGCATCAAGCAGTTGTCCCTTGGACTCTGTGGTAACGCTCCCAGGTCGTTAAGACCAACACTAATACAACTTCCTTTCCAGGTCCCCCAATAAATACCCTTCCACAGTGTGGGCAGCCGGGAAGTGATATTAGCCCTCAGACCAAGTTGGTCACATTCAAATCCTTCTTACACCTCCTAATAACTCTCTTATCTCCACGACTAACTCTTCTCACGTCCCTTTATCACCTCGCACCGCTAGAGCAAACGATTCGAGTAAACAGAACGTTATTCCTGGTCTCCTGAAACCACGCTCTAAACTACATGTAGGAACTTTTAACAGCCCGGCAGTGTTTGTCTGTGAAAGGAGTACAAAAGAAGTACATTAACCCTATAAAGGCTCTCCACTCGAACACAACTGACTGAGTGAGAGTTTATGGCGTACTTTCATCAGAATTGATTGCCTCGAGTGGTGTTCAGGACTGTCCACTCTCTTCATTCTTGTTTAACTTTATCGTAGACGGGCTGTTTCCACAGCTTTTCGGATGTCACTCCACGTGACCTCGGGATAGGCACAACTTACATGGCTGCGTAACTGTTTTTCTAGTTGTTCGTGAAATATATCCTTAGCTTGCATATCATTAGGTAGAATCCTAAGAGGTTTCCTTGCAGTGTCTTCTAACGAGTCCCTCCATCGGTGGCTGATAGCGATGTGATCTAGTTGTGTCCAACGTTGGGACGAATTCGGGGGTCACCATGTCAAAAAATGTTTTTACTTGTGCCTAAAGTTAGTATTTGCAAGAAACAGGCGATTATCTGGGCATAGCTGCAACAGACAGTCGCCATTATCTGTTCTTTCAGCCACGACACCATAAGATCCACCCAGGTATCTTTCGCTTAGTTTACCTACTTGAGCATTAAAGTCACCAGCCACTATTACTACATCAGAGCGCCTAGCTTTACGGTGAAGGTCGGAAAGCTTTTTGTAAAACTAATCTTTTACATTATCTGAGCTGAAGTCAGTGGGAGAGTAGGCGGAGACGACGAAGAGGCAACGACGAGTTTCCCTATCTTTCTGAGTCCTTACTGTTCCGTTTAGTCGGACAGCGCACAGACGACTGTTTACTGGGATCCAGTCTAAAAGAGCTAGTTCTGCCCTGGGACTATACCTACACCAGCGAGGCCACGGGAAGCAGCATCAGGGCTTCCAGATACACGAAACGTGAATCCATTTGGTTCTTTATTTTGACATGGTGAGTTCAAATGAATGACGCTACTCGGACCTTGTATGCAGGTTTCGGAGACGCAGCACACATCGATGTCGCAAGATTCCAAGGTCCTAGCTAAGGAGGCCTGTTGTCCTATTTGGTACAATGTTCGTACGTTAAAAGTCCCTACATGTAGTTTAGAGCGTGGTTTCAGGAGACCAGGAATAACGTTCTGTTTACTCGAATCGTTTGCTCTAGCGGTGCGAGGTGATAAAGGGACGTGGGAAGAGTTAGTCGTGGAGATAAGAGAGTTATTAGGAGGTGTAAGAAGGATTTGAATGTGACCAACTTGGTCTGAGGGCTAATATCACTTCCCGGCTGCCCACACTGTGGAAGGGTATTTATTGGGAGACCTGGAAAGGAAGTTTTATTAATGTTGGTCTTGTGAGAACTGCGAAAATGAAACACCAAGGCTAATGCCTCATTTTCTATTTGGCTATGTTCGCCTTTTTTCGAGTTAGTCCATGGGCCTCAGGAATGATGTCTGGATTTACATAATGGTTTAAAGCATGAGTTTCCACGACAATTGGTAAGATTGGTTGATTTCTCAACAAAATATCTCGAGTCAATGCAGGTTCTAATTTATAAAGTGCTAATTTGCATTCCTTTACCCAGTTCCATGATATGTTATTAAGTGGCGACGTATATGATGTAACGAAGGAATTGGAGTTGAGTAGTACTCAATAAGTTCAAGAAAAGATTTACACAAACGAATATCTCCAAGTTGAATACCTTGAATGTTTTCGGTGTTCGGTTGGTGCCCATTCACATCAGAAAACTGAATTGGCTCCGTCATTGAGACTTTTGGGTCGGTCGTCTAGTATCAAGGGGAGGATAAAGACTCAGTTCAAGAGCTGCGTTAAAACCTGTTGAGAAAGTAAGAAAAATTATTACCAGTCCGTTAGATGTATTTATGATAACAGAAGCGCTCCAGGTTGAGTAAGTGATTAGTGTAATGGTGTCCTATTGCCGTAAATGTGTGGGTTCTTCACAGACTTTGCTCTGGGATGTATATGGGACACGTTTTTTGAGCGGGAACGCTGAGGAGGCTTCAGACATTAGTCGTAACACGACTTGCATAGTTTTTTAGTTACCTAGACCTAGTTCGGAAAGATTAGTAATTTCTTTCAATAGTTTAGTAGGGTAGTTTGTGGAAAGAGGATTAGACTTTATTATTCATAGAGCTAGGAGGTTTGTCTACTAAATCAAAACTGTTAAATCAGTCTGGACTGGGAAGGTTTAGATCAGCATGAGCAACAGCGTGTTTTGTTGGAAATGGAATCTTTTAGAGAAATTGCTCTGTTCATAACAAATCCTGTCATTCTATATCCACTTGTGGGATTATAGGTTCGTTATTAATTAATGGAAGGACAGACTTCATATCAGGTCTTATCATTTTAATAATTCTTTACATTTATTTAAAACTACACTTTGGTTTTCCTTCAGGAGTTACATTAAAAGATATGTTAGGATGATTATTTCGGTGTTCATCACATCATGACAACAAGATCAAAGTAGTCTTGGTACTAGTGGTAGCAAAGTAGTTTAAATATATCGAATATGATACAAGAATAAAGAATGAGTACAGAGTACAAGAAGTATGAAACAATTTTAAAACTCAGAACCTAGGGGTAGATAAAGATTGAATTCATCTGGACTGTTGCTACTGATATTGAGCCGTTTCGCCCCCACCTGTTTCCAGCTTAGTTGCGATTGTCGCGGGGATTATAAGGAGTAGCGAAGTCATAAGACATCCAGACTAAAGGACAGGATTTATATCTAATAAGGATGTTACGGATAACTGTAACACCACATACTGTTATTATTATTACCACTATTGCTATTAATTTTATTGGATTATATGTAAAGTCAGTCAAAATATGTTTTCAATGAAATTGTTATATAGTAGTCGTCTGTGTCTCATGTAGACACACAAGCTTCCTATACGCCATCCCTACCTACTATTTGAGTGAGAAAAACAAAAAACGAACAGGAAGCTTTTGTTGGCTAAACCGAATCGATAATATATGCATAGTTCCTTCATAAATATTGATACATGTGCCTCAGACAATCAAGTCACATTCTCTCGCGTTTATTTCTCTAGGAAGTAAGGCTGGATTTCAACAAACAACGTGCGCACATCAGTATCTCTTAATTATGTTTAATTACCCCAGTATATCAAAATTTCAACCTTTGATAGATATTCTTGTGAAACTGACAATTATTTCTAAACTTAACTAAAACCTCTAACTTTCACTAATTAATAGTATTCCTACTACTTGAGTTCAATAATTAGTAGTGTATTCAATTAGTTAAATAAGTTAATGCTTTATAACTAATTAACGATTTTATAGTTGGAATCATGAGTCAATTGAAGCCAGACCATCATGAAAAACCTGGAGGCACTGGGCGGCCATTTCATCCTATTGTGGGACTCCTCAACAGTCTTGCGGGATTCGAACCCAAGACGTATCAGTCTTGCGCACGAGTGCATAACCTC